CTCCTCCTCCTCCTCCTCCTCCTCCTCCTCCTCCTCCTCCTCCTCCACCCTCTTCTACCATGAGGTACGGGCGCTCCACGCGCCGTCGCAAGCTGCTGCGCGTCGCCTGGGCGCCTGGGCCCCCCTGCGCGGGAGGTCGGGATGCTGGTCGTGGTGGCCCGCCTCGAGGGCTTCGAGCTCCACGCCCAGGCGACGCGGGGCTGCGCCAGGGCATGGGCCTGGGGCGCCGACCTTTTGACGACTTGCCTCGCGGAGGGGGGGAGGAGAAGAGGCCGGGGGATTGTGGAGCCCCTCGTCGTTTTCATGCGGCTTTTTATCGAGTGCAACGCTCTTTCACCCTTAAAAGTTGATTGTCGTGTGACGTGGTTCTTTTCGCCGTGATCCCCTCATACTAGTCTTGGCTCGTTATATCGTTATGTAGTGTTCTCTCTCTCTCTCTCTCTTTGTCTCTCTCTCTCTCTCTCTCTATTTGCTTATCTTCTGCACCAGGCCAACGCATGCCGGTGCGATACAAATCCATTCCCAACCAACACCAATGCCAATGCATTGCCAATGGGGGAATCATTTCGCTCGGTAGGTTTGACTAAGAATATGTTGCGGATGATGTCATTTCGGAGGGTATTAATAGCAATGCTTATGTGTAGGGTTTCGATAGGGGTCCTCATGACGAGGGATCACTAGGAATCCTTCATAAGTCGGAGTCCGTCTGCGGAGGGAGCCATTAGGACTCGCCAGCGCGATGCTAACGCACTGCTAACGCACTGTCATCGCAATGCCAAACCAATGCCAAGGCGATCCCAATTCAATGCCAATGCAACGCCAATGGGGGGTATCCTTTGTGGTAGATTCGAAAAGGAATCCTACCTGTGGGGGGGTTCGTTTGGAATCCTTCCGTGGGGGGTGTCAGTGTGAATCTTTTATGGGGGGTTTTCAAAAGGATCCCTTCTTGTGGAAGGTAAGGAATCCTTCTGTGGTGCATTCGAACTCGCCAGCGCAATGCCGAAGCAGTGTCAACGCAATGCCAAACCACGGCCAATGCAATGCCAAGGGGGGGGATTGTTTGTGGTTGATTTCAATCGCAATCCTTTTCAGAACCCTTCTTCGGGGGGGTTCAATAGGAAACCTTATATGGAGGGCTTCGCATGGAACCTTTTCTGGTGGGGATTTCAATGTGAATCCTTCTTGTGGGGGGGATTCAATAGGCATCCTTTCTGCGGGGGTGATCAATAGGAATCCTTTTGTGAAGTGTTTGAGTGAGACTCGCCAGCGCAACGTCAACGCAATGCCAACGCACTGCTAACGCACTGCCATCGCAATGCCAATGCAATGCCAATGCAATGCCAAAGCGATCCTAACTCAATGCCGATGCAATACCAATGGGTGGTATCCTTTGTGGTAGATTCCAAAAGGAATCCTACCTGTGGAGGGTTTCGTTTGGAATCCTTCAGTGGGGGGAGGGGGGTCAGTGTGAATCTTTTATGTGGGGGGCTTTCAAAAAGGAGCCCTTTTTGTGGAAGGTAAGGAATCCTTCTGTGGTGGGAACCATTCGAACTCGCCAGCGCAATGCCGAAGCAGTGTCAACGCAATGCCAAACCCCGGCCAATGCAATGCCAATGGGGGGGATTGTTTGTAGTAGATTTCAATACCAATCCTTCTAAGAACCCTTTTTTCCGGGGGGTGGAGGGTTTCGCGTGGAACCCTTCTGTTGAGGATTTCAATGTGAATCGTTCTTGCGGGGGGGGATTCAATAGGCATCCTTTTTATGGGGGTGTTCAATAGGAATCCGTATGTGAAGCGTTTGGGTAGGACTCGCCAGCGCAATGCCAACGCACTGCTAACGCACTGCCATCGCCATGCCAACGCAATGCCAATGCGATGCCAAACCGTTGCCAATGCAATGCCGATGGCGGGGTTTCTGTCTTCAAACAGATCTCTCTAGGAATATGTATGTGGATTATTTGGTTACGACGCCTTCTTCGGAGGATTTCGATAGGAATCCTCCCGTGGATGGTTTCGGTTGGAATCTTTTTGTGGGGGGGGGTTCACCTTGAATCCTTCATGTGGGTGCTTTCAAAAGGATCCCTTCTTGTGCAAGGTGTTCATAGGAATCGTTCTGCGGGGGGAGCCACTAGAACTCGCCAGCGCACTGCCAACGCAATACCAACGCAATGCTAAATCAATGCCAACGCGACCCCAAGTCAATGCCAATGCAATGCCAATGGGGGAAATCCTTTGTGGTCGGGTTCAAGAGGAATCCTTCTGTGGAGGACTTCGAATGGAATCCTTCCGTGAGGGAGTGCAAGGTGAACCTTTCTTGTGGGATGTTTCAATCGGAATCCTTCGTGTGGGGGTTCAGCTGGAATCATTATGCAAAGGGAGGTGTTGGAACTCGCCAGCGCAATGCCAACGCAGTGCCAACGCAATGCCACACCAGTGCCAAAACGATCCCAAACCAATGCCAGTGCACTGCCAAGGGGGGAAATCCTTTGTGGTAGATTTCAATAGGAATCCTCCTGTGGAGGGTTTCGCATGTAATCCTTTTTTGTCGACGGTGTCAATATAAACATTTGTTTGTGGATGGTTTCAATAGGAGTCCTTTGTGTAGAACGTTTCGATCGGAGTACTTCTGTGGAGGGTTCCATATAGGACTCGCCAGCGCAATGCTTGCGAACCTCAAGCACACTAGCAACGCACTGCCAAGCGCAATGCCAACACGATGCCAAACCACTGCCAAACCAATGCAAATGCAATGCCAACGGGGAGTTCTTTCTTGCGAAGCATCTCAATATAAACCCTTCTGCGGGCGATTGCAATAGGAATCCATCATATGTGGAGGATTTCAGTCGGAATCATTGAGTAGAGGGTTTCGATCGGAATCCTTTGTGTAGAGGATTTCACTCTGAATCCTTCTTGTGGGGGCGTTCAATCGAAATCCGTCTAGGGGGGAGGGCCGTGAGGGAGTTCAATGTGAACCCTCCTGGTGGGATGCTTCGATCAGAATCTTTCCTGTGGGGGGTTCAACAGGAGTCATTATGCGAAGGGAGGCGTTGGAACTCGCCAGCGCAATGCCAACGCAGTGCCATCGCAATGCCACGCCAATGCCAAACCGATCGCAACCCAATGCCACTGCACTGCCCATTGGGCAAATCAATCCTTTGCGGTAGATTTCAATAGGAATCCTTATGCGGAAGGCTTCGCATGGAATCCTTTTTTGTTGTAGAGGGTCTCAATATGAACCGTTTCTGCGGAGGGTTTCAATCGGAGTCCTTCTTGTTGAAGGTTTCGATCGCAGTCTTTTTGTGGAGCCAGCGCAATTCTTGCGAAATGCAAGCACACTAGCAACGCACTGCCAAGCGCAATCCTAACGCAATGCCAATGCGATGCCAAAACATTGCCAAACCAATGCCAATGCAATGCCAACGGGGAGTTCTTTCTTGCGAAGCATCTCAATATCAATCCTAATGCGGGTGATTTCAATAGGAATCCATTTGTGGAGGATTCCAGTAGGAATCATTCAGTGGAGGGTTTCGATAGGAATCCTTTTGTAGAGGATTTCACTCTGAATCCTTCTTCTGGGGGCGATCACTAGGATTCCTTCCTGGGGGGAGGGCAGATTAGGCCACGTCGCTTTTTTTGTTTGCCGCCGACACCTCCCCCCCAAAAAAAATGTTAAACATTTCCAGCATGATTTTTGTTGTGGGGGGGGAGGGGGGAAAGAGAGAGAGAGAGAAACACACAAAAAAAAAAACAAAAAAAAAATGCAGGAGGAGAAGGAGGAGGAGGAGGTGGGGGAGGCGGAAGGAGAGGAGGACGCCACAGAGTACGCACACCACTGAAAGACGCACGCGCGAACTCAGTGTGAAAGCCTCGCGCGCTCTGGAACCTCGGGGGCTCCACAATCCCCCGTTCTCGAGGAGAAGGGGGGGGCGCCACCACCCTCGGGGCACAACCCCCCCTGGATGTCTCTGGAGCCCCCTGGAAGCCGCCAAAAGGTCCCGCCCGCCTCTCTCTTCTGTTATTATTATGTGTTCTGTGGTTGCTCGCTCCGTTGGCGCTGCGTGCGAACAAACAGCGACTGGAGGTTTTGGGCGATGTTCGGCTTCAGGAGACCCTCACTGTGCCCCAAGGCCGCCAGCAGAATTGCTCGAGGGGAGACACCGGTCTCAGGGAAGGGGTCTGGACCTCTGGCGGCCCGCGCTGTGGAAAAAACACGGCGCCGGCGGTCTGGGCCTCTCGAAGGCCTCCAGGTGCCGCAAGAGGCCCACCGGACCCAGGCCTCGCAGTGGAGGGGGAACGGGTGGGGTCGGAGGCCCGCGCCGCGCATCGCCGCTGCAATTGGCTGCGGCGCGCCCCTCCGACGCCACCCGCTCCGACCCCCCCCCGTGGTGAGAGTCCCCGGGCAGAGGGCCACACACAGGCAGCGCAGCTCCCCCTCGCCCCTCGCGGCGGCCGCGGCGAGGGAGGGGCGAGGAGGAGCTCCTCCTCCTCCTCCTCCTCTTCCTTCCCCGCCTCCTCCTCTCTCCTCCTCCTCATCCTC